AGTTACTAAATTAATCCTTTTGTCAGCACTTAACAAATGCTGAGCTGTTGGCTCCTGGCCTCGACCCAGTAAAAGGGGCACCCTTTCTGGGGCCCGATCCGGCACAGCCCGGCCATTGGGCTGCAATCCTCCCTGCACAAGGGCTGTGTCCCCCCGGGAGCTTCAAGCAGGCTCTGCGCCGGGTGCATGCCCGTGGAGCATGTGAGGTGGCCAGGGTGGCCGGCTGTGCCCTCCCCGGCACCCACGCTGCCTGCCAGCCGGCGAGGGTCTGGCTGCCCCACCGGGGCTCCCCCGCGGCTCTGGAGAGGGATGTCAAACCGCCTTCTCCTGCAAAAGGGCAGGCTGCTGCGGGGGGAATGAAGCTTTTCCTTGCTGCTTCAGCTGGAAAAAGTGGCTATGCAAACCTGCCTGAAGGAACAGTGGCCGTAGAGGCAAAATTTCTTCTCTTTGGCTGCTGAGATCCCACTTTCAGGGCTAGGCCAGTTGTCCCCAACCCGAAAGGCCTCTCCTGCACTGGGTCTTTAAACCAACACAAGAAATTGAGTTTAAAAGTCTTATCTAAACTGCTCCTACCATTCCAATCAGGAAATGCGCCTGCAGCAAAATGGCTTCTGAATCGTGGTTGAAAGCCATGTCCTAGTTTAAGCAGGGACGGAGGTTCAGCCCTGCTTGGTGCCTCATGTAGAGCCCTTAGGGGAGAGATCTGATTTCCCAAGGAATCTCTAACATCTTCCTTCAACTGTGCTTCCTCTCGTCGTTTCCCCCACTGGAAACAAGAGCCAGCGTAACCAAGGTTTTTATCCTCAAATTTTACTGTAATTAAAATACAGAGATGCAGAATATTCCCAGAAACACACTGCAAAACAAACCAAGCAAACAAATTCGGTAGGAAACCAATTACAGACAATGAAATGATAAAGAACAAAAGTGTTCTCTGGAGCCCAGCACTGTGCATGGGACCATGTGGCCGCAGTGACGGTTTTGGGTTGCCAAAGGGCTCCTCGTCTCCGAGAGAAGCAGAGTCGGGCCCTGGCATCTGTCCCAGCAGCTCTGTGGCTCTCCCAGGCCATCTCCATGTTCCCACTCATGCTGTTGTTTTTACAAGGATGACTTTGCAATGGAGACACCGAAATGACCCACCCACAGGGACAAGAGCCAACGAGAGAACCCAGAGGAAAAAGAAGTGGGATAAGATTTTCCACGCACAAAACACAAGGGGACGGAGAGGGGTGGAAGACGTGCACTTCTCTCCCAGCCAGGGGAGCTGTAGGGGCAGGGTGTCTGCCCTCCCAGCCTGTATGAGTGTGGATGTTTAATGAAGGTCTCGGTGACCTCGGCTTTGCAGAGCTCTAGCTAGGGGCAAGACAAGAAGCTAAGGGAGGAATAAAAAATAAAGTGAAGGATAACAAGATGAGCAAAGGGACAAGGGAGGAGAGGATATGCCTGTGGGCTCTCCTCTCAGCTGGGGCACGTTCCTTGGGCGTGGGGAACGCCCAGCAATGGTGGGGCACAGGGCCACGTCCCACCTCCACCACAGGGAGATCGTGGTGAAAGCCTGGGGGAAATCTGGGAATGTGGGGGGTAAGGGGGAAGCTGATCTGGTGCTTGGACCATCCGTTGGGCACACTGATCTAGCTAAATGGAAATACCCAGCAATCGTCACTGCTATGGGAGCAGGGCACCAGCCGGGTTCTGGACCACCACCACACCCCACAACACCCACATTCCCTAGGATAAACTCCATTAGGTTCATCCTTTGATTCAGAAACAAATTCCCTCCACGTGCCCCCTTATCTTGCTCCCCCACTCTTACCCTCCCCTCACCTCCTCCTGTCACCAGCTCCTCCTCATCTTCTTACAGTCACCTGAAAACTGGTGATCTTCCTTGGACTAGCTCACATCATCCTTCCCTCGGTGCTCCCCCCCCGCTTTGTAGCAAGCCCCCCCCACCCCGTATCAATGGGACAATGTAGGTTTTGCCCCTCTTATCACGAAGGGGCGGTGGGAGAAGGGCTGCACCAGCGGCTGAGGGGGACTCTGAGCTGTCCCTGTAGTGGGGGGGAAGAGGAAAGATGGGGCATCTGCCAGGAGCCAACAGCTTCCCCATCCAATCCAGGTCCTACCCTTCTGCAACCAGAGCTGGCAGGAGGTGTCTTTGCTCTTATGACTGGGAACATCGACCCTATTTTCTTTCTGCTCTGGCACTGAGTGCCCAGGAAAACAGCCTGGGGCTGGGTCCCCTGGATGAACCCAGCAGGCCTAGCATGCTAACAGAGCCATACTTTCCAGGGGCCGTTTGAGTCCTGCATAGTTATGTATTCCTGAATGCTCGTTGAACGCTGTGAGGCCCTGGTTTTGGAGTAGATTTACTATTCTATCCATACCTGCTAGTTGGCCCTCTTTTGCTATTTACACTCCATGAGTTCTCCGTTAGCTGGGCTCTAAGAACAACGATTTAGGCTGTGAGTTCCCCTCACACCTCTTCTCCCCTTCTCCAGGCCACCCCACAAAGAAACGGCAGTTCCAGACAAATGGAGAGCTTTACTCCCATTTCCTGCAAGGACATACAGAAGGGCAGAAATAAAAGGATGGGAAACCCTGAGGACCCCTATGGCCTTCCTTAACACACGTTTATCCCATTTTCCATGCCTGTTCTGCACACATGGTGCCTGCAGACGACAGCTTGGCAAGGATGTACTGCCTCCTCCAGCAAGAGCCCGTGTGGGATACGGGTTAGCCAAAAGCACAATGAGCTTCCCATCACCTGCCCAGGGGTGGCTATGAAGTAAAGCCCCTTAGAT